GTTCTCCTCATGAGAATTTAATGAGTTAACGAGAAGCCCTTAAATATGCCTGGAGCATGGTAAATGCTCTGTTCACTGGCTGTTGGGGTTGCAGCCACTTTGGCTGTGTGGGTAGGAGTGTAGGCTCATGTGCCTGTGTGTGGTTAAGGGGCAAGATTATGAAGGGCCTTCTAAACTAAATTAAGGGACCGTCCCACTTAAAGCTTTATTCCCTACTCACTTATCTTGGCAGGCTCTGAGACACCCTTTTCTATCACCTTATCACCCTCTGTCCCCATGCAGTGTTCTCACCCCCAGACCCCGTCTGTTCCCTCACCACTTCTTCCCCTCTGCTCACCCTCACTCCAAGGCTCAGAATATGAATAATCATCTTCCAATTCCATGCAATGAATGGTCAACAGAGGGTAGCAGAACCAGACACCTGGGATCCTGATCTCAAAGCTAGATGCAATCTCCCTTCTAACAGAAGTCTCATTTTGCTTTCAGTAGCATGACAAAGGGAAAGAAGCAGGAAGCTTGCCAGCAGGAGGGTCTCTATCCAAACCCGTTCTGAGCTTGACTTGGTCTGCTTCAGAGAATCAACCAGTGACAGGCTGCTTGTCACTTCGCCTTTTCCCCCTTTCATGAGTTGAATAGTCTCCTTGAGCAGACATGAACAGGCTGGTTACAGTTTCTCAGGGCTGTGGCCTTCATGTTCACTGGCCTACCCCAAAGGCTTTGGCAAAATATTGGTGATGCCCATCACTAGCAGAATTAAATGTTAACTCTTTGGCATTTCCTCAGACCCTCCATAGTCCTTTCTGGTTTGCTTCTTCAGACTCACCCTCAATTCGTCTTCCTGACTCACAGGACTCTTACATGGAAGTCAAATTAACACCTGGCTATGATTCTACAAATGTTTGTGTCTTTAGATTCCTTTATCTCAAGGAGGAAATGAGGTTACTCGTTTTTTCTTAGGGTGTGTTCTGAGATGTTCAGTACCCCACCAAGATCTCCCCTTACCCTTCTGGATTCCTGGCCTCTACTGGCTTGCCATGTACTTAAAACAAACCACCACCAACAAAACCACCTTTACTGATATTATTCACATCCCAATTCACCCTTTTAGAGTGACTGTAACTGAGTGGGTTTTATTTATCCAAAGTGTTTTAACTATCACCACTAACTCCAGAACATGTTCCTCATCTCCCGAAGATGTGACCCATCGGCAATCACTCTCTACTCTTCTTGGCAACCACCAATCTATGTCCTATCTCTATGGATTTGTCTATTCTGGACATTTTATGAAACCATATCAAGTGTGGCCTGTTGTGTCTGGCTGTGTATGTACTCTTAATGAATCCTCAAACTGGAGGTTGAAGTTTCCCTACTACACTTGTGTCCCAGGCTTCTGTGTCCTTTAGCAGTAGCCATTGACTCAAAAAAATTGACACTTCAGAACTATTAGGAGACCTATCTTCTCACTATATACTGATACCTATATCATAGGAATAAAAAGCACAGTCACTCAGCAAAACCTCTGGCTAAACTACCCTGGCTAGTGTGTCAACGACAACACCAACACTCGTATTTATTTAAAAGTATTTTTTTTTTATTTAACTTTAATTTCTGAGGTAAAATACTTTTTTCTTTCAACTTCCATAACAAAATACAGAGCTATCAGATACCCCTGGAAAAAAATATGTATATTATACATATATTTCTATAACATTACATCATATATATAATATATATGCAAAAATTTGAAGACTTTATAGAAAGCGGAACATCTAAAAGGCACTGCACAATGGAGTTAAGATTACTTACATTTTATGTACATATACACACTTTATTCTGCTTAAGCTAACTAGTGAAGTCATCTTTCACGTGTGAATATCTCACAATTCCCTGCATCACAAATTTATAACTCAAATAATGCCTAAATATTTAAAAACAAATTAAATCGTAACTTTTTTTTTCCCCCAACAAGAAACTAACAATGGAACAGTTTTTAAAAAGCTGGATCAAAGTTCTTTTTAACAGAATTAAAATTCCATTACTGTTTATAAAACAAAAAGCACAAACATAATTATGGAATAAATAAAAAGGGACAAAGAGCCAACTCACTCTTACCCACTTGGTGAGAAGTGAAATACAACTACATTTTTAATGCTTCTGAAAGTTTCTTGGCCCATGGAGGACTAGGGTGCAGTAATTCCCTGTATTAGTGAGTTGGGTTTAATGCAGTGCAGCTTGAAAATGGGGAAGGGGGGTGAAGGGACTGGTGAATTGTTTAAGATTGACCTCTACTATTGTCTCTTTTCAACAAGATTCATATTTGTAAAGTTTTAAACATTTGGCACAGCAAATTCAAAAAAACTGGGGAGAAAATAGGTCTGGTTTTACCCCCCTTTTTTCTATCTGCTGTTGGACAGTGATAAGATGCTCACAGAAAAGCAAAGGCTGGCTTTGTGCCAGGCTGGTGACAGGTGCTGCCAGGAGCAGGCTGGGGGGGGGGGAGAGGGAGGGGAGAAAAACGAACTCCCACCCTTTCACCCCAGGAAGACCCACCTCCACATTCCCTGGCCCACTTCCTGAGCAAGCCCAAGTTTGGCTCTATTTATAAAGGACCCTCCCCTCCACCCAACCCCAGTGTGCAGTGCAAACTGACCAACAATTTACTGGTGGAATGGCAATCAAAGGAAACAGTTAAACACCAAATAATTTCTTAAAGCCAAAAACATTTCCATGGAATTGGACATTTTTTGAGTGTGTTTTTTCAAGTGTAAAAGCATTGACTTTTTGTTCAAACAGAAGCAGCATCTAGGAATTCTGGCACTTGGGTTCTAGGGGGGGTTACAGGTATGCACATGGATTTCTTTCCCTCTTATTAAAAGGCCTCATGTTTCTATTCCTGAGTTAATATCGACACCTGCTGGCCCTCCCCTCTAGTGGGCAGGGAGGGTGGCCAGCCAGCCTCCCTGGTTAGACTGGGCAATGACAAGAAGACATATCCCCTCCACATGCCCGGGCTTGCTTTCCGATGAGAGGTAAGTTGAGGTGCAGAGAAAGTAACTGATGAAAACATAACCAACCGAAGATCCCTTGAACAGACAGCCCTTCGCAGCCTGACCAAAGCCTGAGTCCTTAGGGACCACTGTCAGTCCCTTTCCCAGGGAAAGACAGGTTACTCATGGAATTTGAATTAAACAAGGGGGAGGGCACTTGCCCCCAAAATCTGCATGATGGCCTCTGTCATCCCAAACCACCTAGTAACTCACTCACATGCTCTAACCTTCCCTGGGCCCCTCACGCATGCTCTCCTTTAAACAGGGACAGCCACCTGCCAACACTGGAGGACAACCCTCCAATGCTTCTTAGTTCACTTAGGTAAGGCGGAGTCAGGAACTTCTCCTTTCCTAGACAATATCCCTGTGCCCACTCCTTACTCCTCTCAGATATGGAGTTACTTTTCTTCCTGCTGCCAGGTGGATTTGAGCCACAATTAGATATTCCCACACACTAGAGTTACATGGGCACATGCATGCAGAGCTGGCTGTGGCTTCTCTCTCTGCCTCTAGTCTAGGATCCTTTCCCTTCATAGAAAATCAGTACTTTCCCATCCCTTTGAAGTTGATGGAACAATTCCTCATGGTCTACATGTAAACTGGAGTCTCACATAGGATACTCAATTGATCACGAATATTAGAATGGGCTAGGGAAATGGTATGGCTAGAACGGTAATGCCACAACGGGGCAGACACCAACTTTCATTCCTATCAGGCCTTCTGACATATGGTTGCTTTCGTTATCTAACTATTCCTTCAGGTTCAATAAGCCTCCACTTGTACCCCCAGCTACCTTCTGCATTTCTAGGTATCATCCGTCTTTCGCTCCTATAATCCTGCCTTTTTACTATCCATCCCAAAAACATCTAGAGAGGATGACTAACTATTAGCTCAAAATTTAATGGTGCTTTGAAATTCTTGGATTATCTGATAAGTTGTTCACGTCCTTCTATAGGTTTCTTTTGACAGACCCGTATCATGTTAAAGTATGTTCATTGTTAAGGCTTGACTTAAGAAAATGGTGAGAGAGCCAGACAACAAAAACACAACTTCATCAGTATCATGCCTCTCCGTGAACTCGCTACAGCCACATTCTGGTTTGGCTCTCCAGACCCACGATGAAAAAGGAAAAACAAAGGTCATTTCTGTGTTTGTTTTGTTTGTAAAGGCGTTGGGTTACTTCCTCCTGCCCTCTTCTTTCCTCCCTGAATAAGAGTTTACAACTCCTCATGGCTTCTTAACAGATGAAGGTGAAAAGTCAAAGAAATTCACAGCATGGCTTACTGTCTCAACCACGCAGCCAGGTTCAGTGCCTGCCCCACTCTAACTGGCAGTATGTTTCATGTTTCCTGAAAACAGTTTTTAGAGGAAAAGAAAAAAATGCCAAACAACGAAGGAAAGAAAAAAAGCAACATCTGAACACCCCAATCGCCCTATTCCAGTAAGACCGAGAATATCTCATTCTCCCCCCTGAAATAATTACAAAGAAACATCTCAGGCAAATACTGAGCATTAAAGGTCTCTCACCTGCCAGCCACGCCCTTTCTCCTTTATATGTAACTCTCCGAGCAAAATAAACTCATTAATGGCTTTCCTATATATAAATACAGTAGAAAAGAAAGAAGTCTGGAACCTGAACATCATGGGGCCAAACAGTGTCTTGGCCCTTTGGGAGTTTGTTCAGAAAGTATCAGCCTCAACAGAAAACAGAGGCCCTTTCGCCTCTCAGTCCAATACCCTTCCTGTGTCCTACCCACCAGGAAAAAAAGTGTGTTCATGTCTCACCTAATTTACAACAGAAGATGACCAACCCCATTCCCCAAACATAAAAATACGAGTCTATGCCACTAGAATGATCAAACCGGCTAATTCCCTCCCCCCCACCCCGAAATCTTGCTACATAAATACATGTATGTGATTATAGTATAAACAGCTCCCAATCCACTTGCAGTTCTAAGCATCAGCAGCTGCCGTGGCCAAGCCCTGCGGTCCGGACCCATTCCAGAGGAACTTGCCATCCTTCCTCAGCTCTCGGGCTTCGGGGCCGTCATTCCAGCGCCGCTTCAATCGAAGCTTGGGGGGCATCAGGGCATCTTCTTTCTTCTCAGGCGCACTGGGCTCTTTGCCGGGCCTATCTTCGCCGTCTTCAGTCACTTCTAGGGGTTCTTCGCTTGGGGTGCTAATGGGTACGGGAGGCCAGACAGGTGGTGCCTCTGGGCGGGCAAAGATGGCGCCCTTTTCCTCCTCCGTGGTCCTGCTCGGCACGGCGCTCTCTTCCGGAGAGTGTTCCTCCTTCTCTTGGGCCGAGTGCCCGAGACTCTCAGGATCCTTTTCAGAGGCTGGCTCGACCTTAATTCTTGGGGGCACAGGCGCCACGGTGGGAGCAGTGACGGGTGCCGGGTCCTCCCTGCTCTCTACCCTCTCCCGGTTCTTGCGCCCAGCTGGTGGGGGCTGCAGCTTGATGGAAAACGGGGTTGACTCTTCGGGATGCATTTGGCACTGCAGTGGTGGAACCATGAGCCCTGGGTAACGGGGAAATGTCCGGGGACTCAGATGGTAGTTGAACACAGAACAGGCTTGAGAATGAAGGTAGTGTTTCATTTCCTCAGGGTTGAAGGAAAAGCAACTGCTGCTGGTGAAAGGGCTCAGGCCTGGGGATGGGCTATAGGAGAAGATGGTGGGAGTCAGGGAGAGGGCTGGTGAAATGGGAACATTGAGGACACCCCCTCGGCCAGGGATTGGAGAGACGGCGAAGGGACTGTGGGGATCAGGGTAGATGCCTGGCCTACTGAACAGAGGAAGCATGATGTCAGGCTTGCGTTTCTGATGGCCAATTACTCCTCCACCGACAGCATTCCGGGAGGACATGAGATCCACACCCCGGCGCCAGTCAGCGGTGGAGCCGTCCTCCAGCTCCGAAGGCTCCGCCTTTCTGTCAGTGCCATCACTCAACTCCTGCCCGGCAGTCAGGGAGCTGGCAGAGAACCGTCCCGGCTGCACGTCACCAGTTGGAGAATGAGTGTCCAGAGGAGAGAAATGGAACCGGGAAGAGGCTGTTGGAACTGGTGGCGCACTCTGGGGAACCACGCCTGTGGAGGAAGAAAAGACAAAAGGCTACCTCAGGTCTGGTAATTCATTACCATCACTTTTACTCACACTTAACAAATACAAGATGTCTCTCTCCTTCCCTTCTACTCTCTCTAAAAATCAATGGAAAAATCTCCTTGGGTGAGGATTAACAACAACAACAACAACAAAAAAGACCAAAGACCCTGCACCTAACATATATGGATACAAACAAGGCATGTCCTAAGAATAAAAACAGATTTTAAAACAAAAACCAGGTTTATTAAGTTCTTAGGGTATATGTTTTATCAATTCTGATATACAATCACCACTTTATAGAAATTTAAATGTTTCAATCTCTCCAAATCTATATTTCTCTAACAAACTTTAGGTAATGATCTCCATTCCAAACCTGCTTTCAATATTTTTCAAGCATGGAGAAGGTTGGGTGAAATCCAGGACCTAACACTCACTCTACCAAGGCCACCTGCGAAAATGTGAAGCTCTAAGCTACCAACAGCATGCTAGACATGCCAACTTCAGACGCTCACAAGTTCTCAACTTCCCAAAAGGCCCTTCTGGTAAAAAAGGGGCTAAGGAAGGGTTGCAAGCCAAGGCCTCAGAGGCTCTTTGGGCTCCTAGAAAAAATTAACGATATCTATCACTGAAGATGTCAGGAGGGCTCTTCACATTCTGAGGTAGAGATAAGGGAGAAGGAAAAAAGGGCAAGAAAAAGGTAAATAAGTAAAAGTATGGTGATGTAGGAGAAGAAACAAAAAAGCGCATAAGACAGTGTGGTTAGGCATCACTCCCAAACAGCTGCCTTCTGCTATTTGTATAATGGAGTCACCCTCAGATAGGACTCTGGAGGCTGCTGGTGTGCGCAAGGCTAGCTTTCCAGGCACATGAGATGGAGTAACATTGCCAGAGCAGCATTTCCCAAACTGACGCTTCCCAGAAAAAGCAGGGCTTTTTTCCCTGCAATTACCGATTGAATCTTACAGTCAGGTTTGAGGAGAGCCATGGGGTCCCAGGCCAGAAGTTTCTCTTCTCCCAGTCTATTACAGTGGCAAAAATTCCATTATTTTTGAGTCTTTTCTATCTTGATTTTTTTATAAGAGCACATCAAAAGTAAAAAAACAAAACAAAACAAAAAAACCCATTTCTGTGTGCTCTGAGGGACTGAATAACATTAAGCATAATGTGAGAAGGTCCTGTCTCCTAAATAATTTTATCTTAGAATAGCATCAGCTCATAACAAAATGCATGTAAGTATTTTTCAAAATAAGTAATTTGTTAGATAATAATCATGGTTCAAAAGTAGTAACTTTAAAAGGTATATATCATTTGAATATGGACCATATATTAGATAATACTATTTTAGAGCAACAAACTTCCTGGGGAGTTGTAATATTACTGTGGTGGTTATGGAGGTGAATGTCCTTGGACCTGGGAGATCCATGCTGAAGTACGGGGGGGGTGAAGTGTTATAATGTTTGCAACTTAATCTCAAGACTTAAACATGTGGCTGTTCACTGCTTTACCAATTTTTCTGTAGGTTTAAAGTTTTCCAAAATAAAAGTATATATAAACAACTTGGGTGGTGGTAGGAGGCAGAATGTCTGAACTGGTATGTCCTGCCCCCACACTCCTGACTAGCTCTTTTTTTTTTTTTTAAATTCTTTTGGGGTTATCACTTTTATTAGTATCTTCTGTATCATCTTTTGTTTATTATGTACGTAAATATTTAAAATATATTTAATATTTTACAGGACACTTTTAATGGTAAAAATGAGATACTACATGGAGAAGTATTTTCAACACTATTCAAATGTTAAGTACTCTCCACTAAATTGTTAAAAGTAAGATTGTGGGGAAGGGAGAACATTCACTTTACTTTTACTCCATGAACTTCTGTATTATTTGGATAGGTTACAACCAGCATGTATTGCCTCATTCTTAAAAACACACTGATCAAAACAGACCAACTGGATCAGCCCACCATCTAGACACGATCTCTCCGGCCTCCAGGATCTAAATCCAAACAGCCCTACTTTTAGGGTGCTGATCACATTCCACATTCTGAATTGTTTTAAGCCTACTATATCTTATTCTCCTGATAAACTGTAAGTTCCTGGAGGAGAGTGCCCCTCCCATAATTTTTTTTTTTTTTTGTCTCTAGGGCTTACTAAATTATGTGTTGACTAAATGAACTGAGTCTCAATCCAGAGAAAGAATGGTTGATTTAGTAAATAAAATTGTGAATTTCAGACACTCTATTTCTCAGGTTTTGTTTCCTAAGAAGCTGTTCGACAGGTAACTATTCAAACCACCCTGATCAATCTTTACCTTTGATGTCATCCTTAATTTTATCATTTATAAAGAGACATATACTTTGCAGAATTGAATGAAATAAGTCACCAAACACTAAGGCAACTTTGTTAAGTAGATGTATGTTCAATAAATGTATTTCTTGTCATAAAAAGTTAAACTGAAACATTTGGTCTATCTGGGTAAAAGTGCTCTATGAACAAATGACATTCTTTGGAGCTATCTATATCCAGGAGTAAACAATCAAGCAGTCACAGGAAGTACACACTGCTCTGCTTTTCCTGTGACTTCCCTGATTAGGATCTCGAGCTTAGTCGGGGATCAATGTTGGTTCCAATGCCTTCAGAAAGAATGGTTGTGCTAGGCTACTACTGTAAGGTCTCTAGACCAGAGTCTTCACAAAGTGAGAGTCCAGATTTCCTTGCCTTGGAAAAGCATATTACTCCCAAGGGCTGATGGATGCCCCATTCCAGGTTACCCAATGGCTAGACTTCTGAGTTTGCAATGGACAAGAATGGTTGAAAGACAGAACAAGACCATTAAAGCCTTTTTTGGGGAGCGGTATGGCAGGGCATGAACACCAGCACCTTCTTCAAAATTGCTGGTGTGCCTACTTAATTATTTTCGTTGCTACTTCATAACTGTAATTTTGTTACTGTTAATGAATCGAAATGTAAATATTGGTGTCTTAGGCTCTACAGGATCATAGGCCAGGCCCTGTTCTAGGCATTAAGGATAAAACAATAAACAAAACAAAGCCCGTGCTCCCATACAGCTTCTATTCTAGTGGGAGTGTAGAGCCTAAGATCATCGGAAAACACAGATACTTACATTTCGATTCATTAACAGTAGCAAAATTAGTTATGAAGTAGCAACAAAAATAATTTTATGGCCGAGACCGGTTTGGCTCAGTGGATAGAGCGTCAGCCTGCGGACTGAAAGGGTCTCAGGTTCGATTCCAGTCAAGGGCATGTACCTTGGCTGCGGGCATATCCCCAGTAGGGGGTGTGCAAGAGGCAGCTGGTCGATGATTCTCTCTCATCGATGTTTCTAACTATCTCTCTTTCTCTCTGTAAAAATCAATAATATATTTTTTAAAAAAATAATTTTATAGTTGGGGGTCACCACAACATAAGGAACTGTATTAAAGGGTCTTGGCATTAGAAAAGTTGAGAACCACTGCTCTAGATGTACAAGGAAGGAGCAAGAGTGAAAAATAGAGGAAATGGAATTCCAGTGGCTAGAACAGGTTTGATTTCCTAATGCCTCTCCCTCAGGCACAAGGAAAGAAAACAGGTTGTAATCAGAGAGATACATTCCAATACTTTTTTTTTTAAATGTATGCCCCAGGGACAGGAGGGAGTGGCTATAAGATGGAAATGTAATGATAGCTGCATCAAGCTAAAACTGCTCTAACTTGTTGTGTGTAGTAATTAGGTATCTGCAATGGATCTCAGCATTATATTCTCTCAGCCACACCCCCGTTCTAATTTTTCAGGTTGTTTCCAACTTTTCTGTGAGAAGTCGTAATACTGCAGAAACACAATTAGATTTCTTTGCCTTAACATACAATGCCACAAAGACTGTGCTGATGGCTGGTTAGAAACTGGTTAATACAATGTTTTATTGGGCAGGATTATGATTTGTACTAACAAACAAGCACACTCTTGTAAAAGACTACTTTCTGCTCTGAGAGAGGCAGACCCGAAACCTCTGTGAAGAGCTGTGGTGAAAGCCGTCACCAGAGATCTAGGTTTCACTAGAGGGGAAACCTTGCTGCACTTGAGAGGAGGTCAACCAGGCCCCAAGTCTTGTTCTGAGGTGCTGCTGGTACAGATCAAAGACACTGCTTTTCACTGTACACACATATGAACATCCCCCTCTGTGATCAAGGATGCTGCGGTTTTGATGATATTCACTTGATAAGGGAAGGTTTGGTAGTTTCACAGAAAATCGGAAGTACTTGTACAAACAGGTTCTTATCTATGAAAGAGTCACTGGATAGAATGTTAAAACTCTTGAGTCCTGAACTTAAAGATCAACACAAACCTACAGAACATCATTCCTAAAGAGGAGTAATAGTATCTAGGAAATTACAAATATGCAAAAAAGGGAACCAAAACAACAAACCAAACCCAATTTATCTTGATGCTGCAGAGCTTATCACTCTTTTGGTATGAGATGAATGGAAATACCTGAACAAGAACAGAGGCAATTCAAGGGGTCACATTATTTTAGTGTTTCTGAAAACTCTTTCCCGCCTTAACTGGTTTGGCTCAATGGATAGTCAGCCTGTGGACTGAAGAGTCCCAGGTTCGATTCCAGTCAAGGACATGTACAGTACCTTGGTTGTGGGCACATCCCCAGTAGGGAGTGCTCAGGAGGCAGCTGATTGATGTTTCTCTCATTAATGTTTCTAAATCTCTGTAAAAAAAAAAATCAATAAAATATATTTTTTTAAAAAATTATTTCCCCACCAAGAGACTTTGCATCTTACCACTTGACCGAATGTTGATGAACGGGTAGTTGGGCGTCACCAGCTTGTTAAAGTTAAATTTATAAGTAAATCTTTTCCCTTTTGTTTTATGAAGGATCCTCTTGTTGTAATAGTATCTGTAAAAACAGAAATGTATGTCAATCTATCTTCTACCTACTGACAGTACACTTACATAATCACTAAGAATTACTTGCAAACATCACTATCATTCTTTCGCTGATCTGCCCTAAGGTTAGGGCTGGAAGACCTAGGTGCTTACTTTTCAACTGAGTTCTGATCACTGGCTAGGGGCTTTACAAAAACAATCTCATTTAGGATCCTGAACACATATCCTAGCCCAAACCACCTTTCTTTTCCATCTTTCTCTAGTTCCAATTCTATAGTACATTTCCTTCCTGTTCCATTATATGTCACTAGCTAGTTTCTTTTTTCTGCCTTACCCAGCTGGGGACAGACAAGGATCTTGGGACACCTGATGTGGCTAGTCTAGAGGCCATCGATGAAGGAATGTGGAACTGTTTTATGGTGGCAGGCCAAACAATGGTACACCCTGATCTGGAAAACAGCACTGAACTTGGCCTGCTTCCCTCTTAAAGGAGATGTGAGTGGCTCCAGCAAAGCTGCCATCCACATTTTACATTCAGGGTCACTAAGAATGAAAAACTTCATTCAGGGAGCTTCAATGTACCCGGAACCTTTAGCCTCGCATCTATTCATTAGCACAGGTCATAAATTACCTTCTGGTTCCTTGAGGGCTAAGGGTTATGAAATATAAAGACTGACAAGTGGAAAAGAGAAGCTGAGAAAATTTATAGATCAATCCTGGACATGCTGGAGCAACTTATGGACTGACAACTGAACTCACAGATATGGTTCCTAAATACTGTAGCTAGGTCAGTACCATTCAGTGAATCCTCCTATGAGTTTGCTTCACTCTTTTTCTAGTTTCTTCCAGAAAAACCTAAAGAAGAGAAATTCTAGTAGATTTCCAATAGGGGAAGTCTAAACTAATCTTCTGGATTATAAATGAGCTACAATCCACATTTTACCACACTTTTTTACCCACCACAGAACAGAATCAGCTGTCTTTCAGAAGCCAGTGCCAACAACATTGGAATTCCTTCCTGCGTATAACCAAAGATACTCCTGTTTTCCTTTTGTGCCTCTGCTACTCAGATTCAACAGCTCTTCTGCTCCCATTTGAAAACTACACATTATTCACTTCGGTAATATAGTCTCTTGTCGCCTGATACTTTTTCCCTAACATTCATCACACTACTTGGTCTCCTTTCAACTTACTGACACCATGGATTTGGGGATCCTTTCTGTTACCTGAGGGCCCGGCTCAGCTTGTCATAATTCATCTGTGGTTTGCACTTCCTGCGGCCCCAGAGGCGGGCCACCTCGTCCGGATCCTTGATGACAAACTCCCCGTACTCTCCCTGCTGCCAGGCGATGACATGGCGGAACTCTTCCTTCTGCAGCAGCTCCAGGATGAAGTGCCACAGCTGGATCTGCCGGGAGCCTGGGGAGGACTCTGTTTTATAGGCCCAATCAGGAAACTGATACCCTTTAATGTGAAAAGGGCAAGATCAAAGTTGTCAGGAGCTAGGTACATGCATTCCAGTTTCTGACTTCACATTCCAATGCTCAGAATCTCTAGAGTGCTGTGCAAATATGCTATCAACACCCTGGGGCTAACCACAGCAGGGGAGAGGAAAGCACAGAGGTTACCTTCCCTTAAGACAATCACCAAATCTGATAAGAGTTTGGTAGCAGCCACCAGGTGTCCTAATCTCTTACCCTTCCCCACAGTACTTAACCTCACCCCTCCTTTCTACGAAGGCAGGAAAGTTCCAAAAGGAACAAACAGGAAAGATAAATGAATGTTTTAGGAAAATACAGCTGAAAACCCTTACCCCCATGATTAGAACTCTCTCTTTAACAGAAGAGAGATTCTAAAGCCTGGGATAAAAATGTTGTGACCAGACATGTTAGATATACAAACATGGGAAACAAGCCTACAACTGTCTTAGCAGGATCCACCCAGTCAAGAGGCTGTCAGTCATGGGCTGGCATTTGTGAACAGAGCCCAAGCGGAGAGAAAAAGAACCATGGAGGGACATTCCAAGTAGACCAGAGATGATTCACTTCTGCTCACCTCCACCTCCTTCTGGCTTTTCCACGATGCTACAGCCCGCTTTCATTTTCACCCTCCTGCTGAGAGAATATAAAGCCACATCAATTACCTTTTCATTATCTTCCTAGGATTTCTGGCACAGCCTTTCCCCAACTTCCTTTCTTTATCTTTTCCTCCTTATTTCTTTCAAACTGCTAATCCTCAAGTCATCAAATGATGGTCCTCAGGTCAAAGGCCATAATTATCTTTCACCTGACTTTAAACTACCTAGGGGGAAACACTATCTTTAATATTGGCTGTCTTCCTCCCCACCAGCCCTTTGGAAAGTAAGGTTACCAGTTAAATGGGTCCAAAGAGGCAGCCAAAATAAGCCAGTTTGTCTTCTATTACTAGACAGGTCCAGATGCCAAGATGTATATGCTTGAGCTCACCCAGATGTACCAGTTTAAAGAAGAGGGGAGGGGGGGGGGATCTAAATACAACTGATTGCCACTTAAGAAAGAACATCTGATTTTGATTTATTTTACTGAATTATGTGAGACGGGAGAAGGAAAACTCTCAATCAGAAACTGCCCCCTCCTCCTAGAAAAACACTCTGGGATACCGAGAGTAAACACATTGTGTGTACAGTTACTCTATACAAGAAACACACACAAAATCTTTTTGAGAAAAAATTTACATTTCCTTCCTTTAATAGGGGGGGGGGGGGAGGAAGGCAAGCATTTCTGAAAGCCTTTGTCCAAAAGGTGGAGGGAGTCTTAGTGTTGATCTGAATTCACTCTGTCCAGATTTACAGCACCTCTATCCATTTCCTGTTCCCCGCAGCGAGTAGCTTTGTATCAGTCCATCCTTTAGCAAAAAGAAGGGAAGGGTGAAACTGCCTGAGAGAGAGAGAGAGAGAGAGAGAGAGAGAGAGAGAGAGAGAGAGAGAGAGAGAGAGATATGTGGGCAGGAGAGGCAGATCTACCTCCCTGCTCCCCAGGGTGGATGACAGGCCCTCAGCACCCACCTTTCCGGGGATCTGGAGGAAATGGAGGTGCCTCGATGGCCTCAGGGTGGAGTGGAGACAAATTCCTAGCCTTGGAAATTTCATCTAACCTAGGATTCCTCTAGATCCTTTGAATCCCCCCACCCCCCACCTCAGCAAACACATTAAGAAAACCAGCACGTTTTCGTCTGTAAGACAAGGGACAGAGGATGAGATAAACACCCCAGAGGAAGAGAACACTGACACACAGCCGCACACACACAAGACACACAATAACAAGGCCTCAGAGGCTGAGGCAGAAGCTTCCTCTCCAGCTGCTTCCATCTCCGTGACAATGAGGGAGGAAAAACACTCATTTCCCCGCGCCTCCAGGAAGCTGCCCTGGACGCCGGCTCCTGGGTGGGAGGCTCCGTCCGATCGCAGGGCTTTTATCCGGCCGCAGGAATGGCCTTCCACCTCCGAGGCTCGGCCAAACCCCGCTGCCACAATAACTTGACCGGGAAGCTCTCTCCCCTGACAGCCCAGCTCCCGATCCCTCCGGGGTCCCCCAAGCCCCATAAAGATTCCCCTCCCAGGAGCCCGCAGGCGCCTCTGCAGAGCTTCATACATTCCCTTGGAGGACGCTGTCCAAGGAGGGCCACTCACCCCGACTCCGCACACCCCACCGAGGCCCCTCGCGCCCTGCCTCCGGCGCCGACCACCCCCGAGGAGTGAAGCAAGCACAAGCACAGAGTCTGGCTGGGCTGCGGCTCCCGGCTCGGCTCGCGGCCCGCACAGCCTCGTTTCCGCTTGCTTCCCGGGAGGGTCTCCCCAGCCCCGTGGCACGATCGCTGCCCTGGGTCCCCGCTGCCGCACAGACACCCGGGCGCCCTCCCTCCCTCGCCGATCCTCCTCCCCGCCCTGGGTGAGGCCAGCGGGGCTGGGACGTGGCCCGCCGGGCATCTCCGGCCCCAGGGATGCCGATCCCGCCGAGGTTCAGGGGGGCCCATCGGAGGGGGGTCGGGCGGCGAGGCCAGGACTCACCTCTCCCCGGCAAGGTCCGTCTTCGGTCCGGTCTCCTCCGCGGCGGCGTCTCCGGCTCCTCCTCATCCACCCCAGCAGGAAGTGACCTCCGCGGCTGCTGTCGTCACTTCCATCCTCCGCAGACGGGGCGGGGAGGAGGCGGCGCCCTCCCCGCGGGTGTCCCGGCCGCGCCTCCCTCCCTTCCCGACGGCGGTCGGGCGGACGCCGACTTCCGCCCGCACTCCGCCCCACGGCGCCGCTCCGGCCCCGAAGCCCACGTCGCCGCCCGGCGCACGCTGCTGCCCGGGAGGGGCGCGTGCGTCACGCTGCGGGGGCACGTTACGCACGCTCACGTCGCGGCCCCGCCCGGCCGGCCGCGGGCTAGCGTATGAGGCAGCGGCGCGGAGGGTGTGTGGTCGTGATGGCCAACCCCGCACCGGCGAGGCGAGGCGCGGCCCCGAGAGCCCCCCGGGGCCGCGGGAGGGGGCGTCGCCGATCTCCCGGGAAGGGCCCTGGTGCCGGGAGAAAGCCTGCCCCGACCGCGGTGACCTCCCAGAGGAGAGTGTGCACAAGGGGCAGAGGACCCCAGGGGGAGGAGGGGGCGTCCACTTCACTCCCACCCCATTTCATTTACCCCAACCCACTTTTCACTTACCCCCGCCCCCCTTTCATTTACCCCCACCCCACTTCCATTCACTGAGGAAAGAAGCCGCGGAGCTTTCTCTGCGCGCATTGCTCGGACATCTGCCCCTGTATAGGAAGTGTGGCCAATTCCCCTCGTATCCCCATCTCTCTGCATTTAGGTTTAAAAAAATATATATCTTACTGATTTTTACAGAGAGGAAGAGAGAGAGATAGAGAGTTAGAAACATTGATCAGCTGCCTCCTGCACCCCCCACTTCCCCAACCCCACAGGGAATGTGCCTGCAACCAAGGTACATGCCCTTGACCAGAATCGAACCTGGGACCCTTCAGTCCCGCAGGCTGATGCTCTATCCACTGAGCCAAACCGGTTTCAGCTGCATTTAGTTTTAATGTGTCCACATCTAAGCAATTTGAAAGTCTCCCTCGGTCATTCACAGACCTCTACCCTTTCTCTCCCCTCTACCTTTCGTCCCTGCCAGAGCAACGACAAGTAACTTGTCCAGAGCGTGTCTGTTCTCCCTGTCTGGCTCAGGGCCCAGTGGTCACAAGGCTCCCAAGCACTTCGGTTTCATCTCCATCCCCAGCCCCATGGGGCTGTGTCCAGGTTTAGTCTCCCGCCAGAGGCAGGAAAAAGGGAGAGTGAGGGTCATGAAAGGTTAAATAAATTAGGATAAAGAATACAAATGAGAAGTGAAGAAGAGAGATGGGATTGAAGAAATCTGAACAGCCATTTGGGATAAAGCAGTCCACTTTGTCTGCTAACTCCTGAATGCCACCAAGACCATGGAAACGTTATCATGGTAAGTTATTAGAAAAATTCCAGTTTGGGATTTGCTCCCAGCCATTCTCTAGTTGTTGATAAATGAACTAGCATGCTGGGCCCTTCTGAGCTTAACATTGCCCGTTTAAAAAGAAAGGAAAATAACATTGGTGATATAAGGTCTTTTCTAGTTAGAAAATCCTACCGTGGAGTTGAATAAAATGACCAAAAATTTTAGCGCCATAGAATGGACTACCAATGTCTGCAACTACACCAAGAGCTCCTTGCATCTAGTAGGAACTGTCTATCCTTTGTATCTTCCCAACAGCACCCCGAGCAATGTCAGATGTTTGGTTGAACAGTCTTTTTCAGTTATTGGGGTTGAGCTCAGTGACATCAATTGTAGTCAGGTCCTAGTGCCTTCATCAGCTAGCTGTGTGACTGGTTAAGTTACCTAACCTCTCTGTGTCAACTTCTCATCTTGGGTGAGCATAATATGTATAGTATCTACTCAGGCGGTTGTATGAAATGTGTTAATACATGTAGAGTGGTTAGAGCATGTAGAATGACATGTTGTGAATATGGCAGACGAACAAATGTTGGCAAAAATCATAATTAAAAATCGTTGCGTTAAAAATCCTCACATTTTCGTACCACCCATGCAAGTCTTAGGAACTGTGTTAACTTGGAAACCAAGGTGAGCAGTTTCTTCTGAAAGTCTGAGGTGACCAGACTTGGCTCAGGGTTCACATTGTCATGGTTAGAGCCAGCACGTAACCTCCGAGGGCCCTGTGTTTTCCAAAGAGCCAGAATTCTTCTTCACCCCGGGCTCCCAGTGGTTCTCCGCTGCGCCTTCTCTGACTAATTAGAGTCAGTGAGGACAACTTGAGTAAACACCATTAACAGAGATAAACAGGTCTCCTTACCTGGCTGGAGTCTGAGTTGATGTATGGAGAAATGTGTCTGTGCCAAGAAGAGCTCCACATAATTTCTACATTAAGAATCTCATCCTTGACCTGAAACTCAACAGGCGAATTGGGGTTTGATAAGGCAAACTGGAAATTCCTTCACCACTAGTGGGTCCAGATAAACGAGTTTTGCACCAGGAACTACTACTACTACTTCTTCTTCTTTAAAAAAAAAAAAAAAAAAAAAAAAAAAAATATATATATATATATATATATATATATATATATATATATAATTTTTTTACAGAGAGGAAGGGAAAGGGACTGAGAGTTAGGAACATTGACGGAAGAGAAACACCTATCAGCTGCTTCCTGCACACCTCCCACTGGGGACGTGCCCGCAACCAAGGCACATGCCCCCGACCAGAATCGAACCTGGGACCCTCCAGTCCACATGCCAACGCTCCATCTCCTGAGCCAAACGGGTTAGGGCTGCACTAGGACCTTCTGTGATGGCAGTATCTGGGGAGATTTGGGTGGCTAGGGACTTCTTGCCCCCTGAATCCAAGGTTCCTATCCACTATCTCCTTCACCGCAGCACTGCCTGCCTTCTTGTCTGCCGCAGACGGGCTTTCACAATGTGGAGATTCTTCTGTTGCTGAAACAGGGAGAGCATGAGCTTTCTGAAAGCATGGGGGTGGAAACACTTAGGCACAGTCTAGGAGTCAAGGCAGGTTGTAATCTCTCTTGAATTTCCACTTGCT